TTGTTGTTTGCCGTCGAGTCAGACCGACTCATAGCGAGCCCTCCTTCAGTTTTTAAGGCAGTATCACTACAGAAGTAGATTGCTCAATCTTCCTTCTGAGGAGTGGCTGGTGGGTTTGAACTGCCAGCCTTCTGGTTAGCAGTCCAGTGCCTTAGGCACTACGCTACCAGAGCTCCTGAACTGACAGATAGCAATTGGTATTTCCATGTTACCTCACGCCCAAGGATCTCCACATACTCTGTCCCCATGGTTTTATGAATCCCCAACACACCTCCTTAAGGAAGAGGAAGGTAGTATTCAGTTTCTTCTAGAACTCTGCCTTGAAAAGCAGTGAGATATTTTGTCCATGTGTGAGGATAAAGATTTTTGCTTTGTTAGGCCTGACTCCATATTGTTAGAATAAAATTTCATATATTCCGTTAAGATGTCATTTCTTTAAAACCTGGCTTCAGTTTTGTGTTATAATTAACTTGTTCTCTCTCTATGTTACAGTTAGCAGTTCCTGTTGCAGCCTGTGATCTAAGACAGAGACATCTACATCAATAAAGGGTCCTGGGCCGGATTTTAGGACCAGTCACCTGGGCTTTGACAAACACCAATGGAGCCTTTTGGGGATTCCCTGACTGTCGGGGGATTCAGAGGAAACATTCCTTTCTTAATTACTCATTGCCCTACCTAACTTGTGGAAAATTGTTAACTGATCCTGCATATGCTTCTTCTCTTTAGTATAAGAATCTCTGACTGTAAACGCTGAGCAGAGTGGGCATCTTTGGAGTCACTGAGGCCCCGTCTGTCTTTCCCTGGGTGCACCTCCTACTTAGAGTCTCTTCTTGAACTCTGGTGTGGACTATTGGCTGCACTGCTCCAGGGTCCAGACCTCAGAATATTTCGGGTTACACATGAACAGCATTCTATGTCTAATCGGTTTTATTACGTAATAAATATTGCAGGCAAATGCATTATTTCCACATCCGAAGTTGTTTAAACATGTGTCTGTTTTCTGAAACCTACATCTTATCAAATCACACACTGTTCTGGGCCTAATCCCTTGGTGCTCATTATTTCTCTGGATTCTGCTGTAAGTTGATCCAGGCACAAATTCGTTGTGACAGCTGAGCTGACGGAACCCTTGTTGTAAGCACTGTTGTGACAGGCACACAAAGAAACTACACACTAGGCAACATTACCAAAAGGATTAGAACTGAGCTAACATACCTGAAAATCACATTATAGTGGAAGCTTTTCAGCTCATTTCATTACCCTAATCAGAAATGAAAAGTTTCTACCCATCAAGGAAAAACAAACTTGAAGTCAATACTTCCTATATGGTATAAGAGTCACATACCAGACGTCCCAAAGACCTTACTGTGGTTTCTACAGTATCAGTGAGGAAGGGGGATCCTGGTATTTTCTCTTGCTGCCACCATTTCTAGGTTCTTGTAGCTTTTGAAGGTACCCTGGTGGTGCAGTGGTTATAAGCGTTCAGCTCCTAACCAAAAGGTCAGTGGTTTGAACCCACCAGCCACTCTGGAGGAGAAAGATGAGCCAGTCTGCTTCCATGAAGATTGACAGCCTTAGAAGGTCTATGAGGCGGTTCTGCTCTATCCTATAGGGTCACTTATGAGTCAGAATCTGCTTGATGGCACTAGATTTTTTTATTTTGTTTGTAGCTTTTGAGTTTGGGGAGTGGGTTTCAGCATGAATCAGCTCCAACGGAGGAATCCACTCATTTTCCTTCTCATTTTCTTACTTTGCTTTTGCCTCAATTTTATCTTATGATTTATAGAGATGAAATGAGTATATTGATTTAGCAATCAATGAAGGGTCTGAGCTGGTCTGTATGAGCTCGACGTGAGGGAGACTTTTCCCAAAATTCCTTCATTCAGAATTGTCAGAGTTTGCTAAGCCTTCACCTCTGCTAGCTCAGAAAACAGAGGTCTTCTGATTTCCCATTGGAAATTGAGAATACTTGCTCTATTGTGCATTGTAAAGCTCTGGTGGCCTAGTGCCTAAGGCATTTGACTGCTAACCAGAAGGCTGGTGGTTCGAACCCACCAGACACTCCTTAGAAGGAAGATTAGGCAATCTCCTTCCGTAGTGATAATGAGGAGGGGGTCACTATGAGTCGGATCTGACTCGACAGCAGTGCGTTTGGTTTGGTTTTGTGCTTTGTAAGAGCATGAGTATCACAAAGGAGCAGGTGGCTACACCAATATAGGAGGCTGACTTCCTGGTTCAACCACTGTGCCTGTGCTTGACGATCAGGACACAGAGCATAAAGGCCTGTGGCCAACAGCAGGGCCTGTGCTTGAGAATGGATTATACTGGTAGAATTCTCACCTTCCATGCAGAAGACCTGGGTTTGATTCCCGGACAACATGTCTCATGAGCAGCTACCACTGGTCTGTCAGTGGAGGCTTCCAAGTTGCTATGATGCTAAATGGGTTTCAGGGGAGATTCCAGACTAAGATGGACCAGGAAGAAAAGGCTGATGACCTATTTATGAAAATCAGCCAATAAGAACCGTACAGATCACAAGGACTGATCTGCAGCCAATCATGGGGGTGGCACATGAGCAGGCAGTGTTTCGTTCCCTTGTGTGTGACCGGGGGCTGATTCCAAGTGAACAATAACATGTGGTATGCATCAGACGAAATCAGGGCAGTCTGCAAAATGTGCGATGTTCTCATCCTGCACGGACTCTCATTTTAAAGGCAAACTGCTGAAGAGGGCAGAAAGGCCTTTCCCTGGATGACAGAGACAGAGATTACAGGCTTAGAAAAAGGAGGACCCCAAATAGAAACTCCTGGCCCAGAGAACAGACAATTATTTGACAGCAAGAAATACTTTGTTTGATGGTACATCCTTATTACCATTGTTGTTATGTGCCATGGAGTCAGACCCAACTCATAGTGACCCCTCTTTGGGTTTCCAAGGCTGTATCACTACAGAAGTAGATTACCCAACCTTCCTTCTGAGGAGTGGCTGGTGAGTTTGAACCACCAACCTTCTGGTTAGCAGTCAAGTGCCTTAGGCACTACACTACCAGAGCTCCTCCTTATTGCTGTAGTGGAAGGAAATAGATCCTGAGGACTTCCTTCTCTTAGTGGCAGGTCAACTGCTGAGGGAGGAGCCAGGCAGGGGGTTGGACCTTGGGCGGGGGCATCTGGAACAGCTACCAAGAAGCCCTGAAAGGCTGGGGTCTCAGGCCAAATACAGGCATTCCCAGCAGCCTCTTAGGCATGCTTCCCTTCAAACATTAGCCTATGAGATCAAGTTCATTTGATATTTCTGTACGTGTATTACCAGATAATGTTAATAGGTCTTATTTTGCCATCTACTTTGAATTATACTGTCATAACCACAAACCTGAAGGTAGACCAGGCAATCTACTTCCGTAGAGATACCGCCTCAGAAACCCAAGAAGGGGCCACTTTGAGTCGGAATTGACACCACGGCAGCGAGTTTGGTTAGTTTGTTTAAATGAAATGTGGTTTTCGGTAACCTGGAAAGTAGACAGGTAGACAGGGATGTTGTTTTGCCTGTCTTTAACTACTGATGTTTCTTTCATGTTAACATTCTTACTTACTGTACATCTGGACAGTTCACTTAATTAAACTGGCCTAAGTGTCTAAGGCATTTGACTGCTAACCAGAAGGCTGGCGGTTCAAACCCACTGCCACTCCTCGGAAGGAAGACTGGGCAATCTACTTCCGTAGAGATACCACCTTGGAAACCCAAGGAGGGGTCACTATGAGTCGGAACTGACTCGATGGCAATGGGTTTTTTTGAAGAACAGTCTACAGAGGCTGAAGGGACTGCTGAGCATCTAGACAGAGAGAGGGTTAGTGCACCTCCAGTGGGAAGCAACAGTCACCCAGTCACCACAGCTGTTCAGACCCGTAATCCTGGGGCCCCAGGACCCCGCCAGCCCCTCCATGGGGAAGAAAGTGGTGTCAGCTGAATGTGCCCCTGGTGGGGCAGGCTGCCCTTTCCTTCCTCTGCCTATTTACAATGGCCACTCCTTGTTTCTGAACACATCAGCACTGGCCTGGCTTATTCTACCCACCTTCTTCATAAATAATTCCCATAGGTTTTTAGTTGTTAAAAACAGTGTGTGTGTGTGTGTGTGTGCCTGCCTGTGTGCATGCACATGTCTTTCAATCTCTATCCTTAAGGGTAAAACTCTGACACCCTGAATATATACAAAATAATGAACTTTGGAATCTGAAGGCAATTCCCAAAGAAGAGTCCCAAGAATGTGATAGCCACAAATCTGACACATGTAAATAAGCTTCAGAGGTGATCCTGGTCCTTCCCAGAGAGTAGCCCTCACTCAGACAGCTATATTCTGGTATTTTGCTTTCAAAAGAAAATGCATTACCTACTAATACCTACCTTTCGATAACTCCCAAAAGTATTGGGCTTTTTTAAGAACTTGATGCTGTAAAACATTAACATGGCAGTGAAACTGTGCACAGGAGCAGGGACATGTGGCAGCTGTGCAGAATCCTGATTTCACAGTGCACAATAACGCTTTGTTTTACTGTTTACCTTTGCCTGCATGACTAGGCCCCCTTCACCACCTAACATTCTCTTCTAGCTTCATCATGGCCAATGTTATCTTCCATTTTCTGTTACTTATTATGCCTTGATTCCTAGTCCACTTCTGCTCCCCTTCACCCCTTGAGTTCCCATCTGTCATTCTGTCCATTCACTTATCCATCCTTCCAACAAATCTTTATTGCCATTTTTCCTATGTGTAAACCTACACTACAAGTTAAGACAAAACCTCATAATCAGAGTTTGTACAAAGAGCTAGGCCTTTGGAGGCAGATACAATGTATGTTTAAGCCCCGGCTCCATCACTCACTAGATCTGAGACTTTGGGCAAGTTATTTAACCTCACGAAGCTTCAGATTTCTAGCTGTATGTGGTGACACCAAGATTTCCATTATAAAGGTATTGTGGCGATTAAATAAGACCGTGAATTAAAGTACCTAACACCAAGTGGGCATCCCTTACCTTGTCTTCTGATTTCTGCTCCATATCCATGTTTGGATATGGCTGCATTAAGGTCAGAAAGTCTTCAGTTTTAGAGAGAGATTTATTTCTCTTATTGTTGACGAGAGTGTAAATTGGTACAACCCTTATGGAAGGCATTTAGGCAGTTAAACTCACTGCCATTGAGTTGGATCCGACTCATAGTGACCCCTCCTTGGGTTTCTGAGGCTTCCTTCTGAGGAGTGGCTGGTGGATTTGAACCACTCAGGCTTCTGGTTCTCAGTCAAATGCCTTAGGCACTACACAACCAGAACTCCCTAGGTAGTTATCTATCAAAATGATAAATATATATCTATCCTTTGACCTACACAGGGAAATTATCTTACAGATATGCTTGCACACATGCAAAATGATAATTCACACAGCCTTGTTTGCCACAGGAAACATATCAATGACCCTCAACAGGGGACTGATCATATAAATCCACACAATGGAGTATTATGCAGGTATGAAAAAGGAGGAAGAAACTCTCTACATGTCAATATGCAAAGTTCTTCATAATGACATGTGAAAAAAACATGGTGGAGGTTACACAACATGACAAACACAATGTCAATGATAAATGAAGCATTACTTTCAAAAAATGGTGAGAAAAAAAAGGTGGAGAATAGTGTGCATAGTATATTACATTTCACATAAAAAGGGGAGAGGGAAATAAGAATTTGGTAATGCATAAAGAAATCCTGCAAGAATGCACAAAAGCTAAAAAAAAGTGTTTGCCTCTGGGTGCAGTTGGAATGATGTAGATGGTGAAGATGGATTGGGAGTATTTTTTTTTTAATGTTTTCAAATGTTTGAACCTATCCAAAAGTTAAATGAAAAAATGCCTCTTTCTTGCTTTGAGTTTCTGCTTTTCTTTTATCCCATTTTCATTAGCTGTGTATGATAGACAACCAGACCCACCACAAAGACCTACTGAGCATCCTGAGTGCTGGGCTCTGGAGGGTTGCAAAGACATACAAGGCTACGGCCAGAGACTTCTAGTGTTTAAAAGAAAAAAAAAAAAATTAAATCTGTAAACAGAAAATTCTTATTAAAATTATTTTAATGTTGTTGGTGTTTGTTCTTCAATTACAGAGGAAAAATATTTGTCTACTAGGACTGAAATGCCACTGTGTGAAAATACTATTTGAAGACTGGAGATATCTCCCAGCACAAAGGACAATTCACATAACCGTGTGAAATCCACACCTCAGGTCAGAGCAAACAAGTGATTATTGCTGTCAGTGGAAATGTACACATTAATCTAGCAATGACTTTGTCAATAATTACCATCTATTTACTTTGCCCACATTGGTGCTTAAGCTGTAAAATCTCAGGAGGGGAAGTCTGCCAGGAACAGATGGTATTCATATTAGGAAAGAGTGAAGCAGTTCGTATTCCTGCTAGCAATGGGCTAGCAGCACAGGGAGGAGGGCTCGGAGGTCTTTGGGTACATTACAGTCTGTGAAGTCAACAAAACCTTGGTGTTCAGATTCCATCAGATACCTAGGAGTCTGAAAAGAATAAAAATTGCCCTATTATTCAGAGTTTGCTTTCACAAACACAAGAAATTCCAAACTCAGTCGTCTATCCATTAGTCTTTTAGAAAGAAAAGCTTTTCCTTACACATTTCAGAGAATTTAGTTAAAATCTATGTTCAACCAGTGTGCATCAGGCACTGTTCTACACTTGGAATGTGGTTGTTGTTGTTAATTGCCGTCAAGTTGGTTCTAAGGAGTGCATACCTCCCTGGTGTTATTGTTCACCTCATAGGCCTATCATTTGGTTAAGATGGAAATTATCAAAGATTTCATATTACTTGGTTCCACAATCAACACCAATGGAAGTAGCAGTCAAGAAATCAGATGACGTATTACATTGGGCAAACCTGCTGCAAAATACCTCTTTAAAGTGCTGAAGAGAAAAGATGTGTCCTTGAAGACTAAGGGTGCCTAACCCAAGCCAAGGAGCTCTGGTAGCATAGTGCCTAAGACATTTGACTGCTAACCAAAAGGCTGGTGGTTCAAACCCACCAGCCACTCCTTGGAAGGAAGGTTAGTCAATCTATTTCCATAATGATACTGCCTCAGAAACCCAAGGAGGGGTCACTATGAGTCGGGTCGACTCGACAGCACATAACAACAACCCAAACCATGGTATTTTCAATCGCTTCATATGCATGTGAAAGCTGGACAATGAATATGGAAGACTGAAGAAGAACTGATGCTTTTGAGTTGTGGTGTTGGCGAAGACTGAAAGTACCATGGACTGCCATAAGAATGAACAAGTCTGTCCTGGAAGAAGTGCAGCCGCATGCTCCTTGGAAGCGAGAATGGCCAGACTTCGTCTCACCTACTTTGGTCATGTTTTCAGAAGGGATCATTCCCTGGAGAAGGATATCATGCTTGGTAAAGTGGAGGGTCAATGAAAAAGGGGAAGGCCCTCAACGAGATGGATTGACACAGTGGCTGCAACAATGGGCTCAGGTACAGCAAGGATAGTGAGGCTGACACAGGACCCGGCAGTGTTTCTTTCTGTTGTACACAGGGTCACTATGAGGCGGAGCCGACTCCAAGGCACTTAACAACAACATCATTTGGTTGAAAGCTGATCCACAAAGGTAGCTTTAGTTTCAGTCCTGAATGGTGTTAAAGGTCACCAGTCTCTATGAGACCAGTAAGCCTGGTCTTATTTATGATTTGAGTTTTGTACACAGTTTTTTCCCATTCTATATGTAACCTCCTATTATGATCCCTTTCAACGGAATCAGCAACGGTAGCTGGGCACCATCTGGTTCTTGTCTCAGGGTCGTGTAGGCTGGGGTTCACATGGTCCATTAATCCTTTGGACTAATTATTTCCTTGAGTCTTTGATTTTCTTCACTCTTCTTTGCTCCAGATGGAGAGCAACCAACATGGCACTTCAGATGGCTGCTCAACACTGGGTAATTATTTACAGCCAGAGGCCAGTCTCTACCTCTGTTTCCCTGTCACCTCCAACATCCCCCCCACAACTTATGGTGACCCCACGTATGTCAGAGTAGAACTGTGCTCCATGGAGTTGTCGATGAACTTTCAGAGGTAGAATGCTAGGCTTTCTTCCCAGGTACCTCTGGGTGGATTGGACTCACCAACCTTTGGGTTAGTAGCAAAGCCTTTAACCATTTGCACCACCTAAAGACTGCCTGGAATCACACACTTGGGTTCAAAGCTCAAGTCTGACTTTTAGAAGCTCTGTGCCTTGGGAATACTGTTTACTTTTACCTATAAAATAAGGAAGATCATAATACTTAGCCATGCATTATTATATGGATTCAACTCAAAAAGCTCATTGCCATTGAGTTGGACCCAACTCATAGTGACCTTTCCTTGGGTTTCTGAGGCAGTATCACCACGGAAGTAGATTCCTTCCGAGGAGTGGCTGATGGGTTTGAACCGCCAGCCTTCTGGTTAGGAGTCAAATGCTTTAGGCACTATGCCACCAGAGAGCCTATTATATGGATTCAATGAGGCAATTCATCCAGCAAATAATTTCCACTGCCATTGGGTCAATTCTGACTCATAGCCACCCTATAGGACAGAACAGAACTGCCCGATAGGGTCCCCAAGGCTCAAAATCCTTACAGAGGAAGACTGCCTCATCTTTCTCCTGCAGAACGGCCAGTGGGTTCAAACCGCCAACGTTTTAGTTAGTAGCTGAATGGTTAACAACTATACTACCAAAGATCCTTAACAAGAAATTACTGAGGGCCTATTATGTTCCAAGCATTGTTAGCCACTGGGAATACATGCAGCAAAGGCATGTAAAAGGCACTTAATAAATATGGACTATTTTTATCTAGAAGCATATATATACACGCTTGGGGTCCTACACAAGATTTAAAGAAGTTTTAAGCTGAAGAAGCAGGGATGAATTATTTATCAGGCTTCCAAGACCAGGGAGTTGAAATGCTGATGATCACACAATAGTATCTGATTACAATAGAGGATTATTGTCTGATCAAGGATCAGAAGTATAATACACCTGTTGAGTGATTCAATATGTGATTCGAGCAGTTTAGAAGCATATTAATTCATTCTACACACTAGGACTAGTTGTCAAGTGTTTTACCTTTTCTTCCAGCACAACATTCATAAAAACTGAGAATGTCAATTGAAGACATGAAAAAAAAAAAAAATTAAAGAGTATGAATACTATGGATAGGCATTAATGTGGGTGATAAATATTTTTAAAAGCTAGGTTATTTATTGGGAGCTCTGGTAGCATAGTGGCTAAGACACTTGCCTGCTAACCAGACGGCTGGTGGTTCAAACCCACCAGCCACTCCTCGGAAGGAAGGTTGGGCAATGCTACTTCTGTAGTGATACTGCCTTGGAAACCCAAGGAGGGGTCGCTATGAGTCGGGGCGACTCGATGGCACATAACAACAACAACAGGTTATTTATTATTTCCTAAGAGGATTAACAACCCTATTCCACCTATTGGATACTTTTGCCCACCCCCAGAGTCATATTCCCTGAAATGCATGTTTTCATCAGCTTTTAAATCTATAATGATCACTTTGTGCTGTGTTTTTTAAACCAGGATGTACTCCTAGGAAATATGGCACACAGCTGGGGCTAAGAGAAACCAGGATAAAGTGGCGTATCTTCCTGAAGATCAGCTCTTCCTCAAACTTTCACAATTTAACCAACCGGGATATATGGTGGAACAGAATGCGAAATCCACCTGATTTCAAAAGATAAAACACGAAACATCAAGAAAATGCTCCTTGAACTGTCTTCTTCGGAGCAGAGGGGAGGTTACAGAGGCCCTCTCCCCTCTAGAAGAAAGGCTCCTAACACTGTACATCGCAGTTGATTTCTCCCATCTTTTCACATCGTTGTCAATGACAGGTTTTTTTTTAAATGTAGTTTTGAGGTTTTTTTTTTTTTTTTTTTTGGTCTATTTTTGAACTTTTTATTGTCTTCTGTTACCTATGAAAGCTAGAAATAAGTTATGACACACCG